CTAGGTTTTCCTTTCCTCACTTTTGAGCTTAGAGTATATATAGCTGTTAAGAACTGCTATATTCCTAATGTATATATATACACACATATATTCATACATACATATATATACATACATATATTTATTCCTAATATATATATATATATATATATATATATATATATATATATATAAGGGATATATGGCGGTTTTGTTGATAGCCACTCTAAGCTAGAGTGAGAAAGAAAAAGTTTTAAAAAGTAATTTTCTCTCTCTCTTTCTCACTCTGCCTCAAATTGTCAATATCAACTTTATTTTCTGGAGAGAGAGCTTAGGCTACGTATATATATGTGTGTGTGTGTCTCGTTGCGCGGTTGGTCGCAAAAGAAACCGAGCCAGTGATTTGTAAGCAGGTTGCGACGCGCCGTAAGACGTCGCAGCACCGATCGCAGCTGCTTGCTCCGTCGATAACGAGGAGCGCGCTCGCGCGTGAGGCCCGGCGCGGCTTACCGTGGAGCTCCATCACAAGGCGCATTAGCGAGTTTATTGCTGCGGCGCAATAAATCCCGGAGCTGATCTCCCCCTCGTTTAATCTGATCCCGCGAGGACGCCAGCGAGAGTACCGAAATTGCGGCCGCGTCCGATCGTCGATTATGTAATCCATTAAACCTCGTGCGATCGCCGCGGGATGATGCTGCCGTCGCTGCTGTTGCCGTTGTTATTACTGCCGTTACTGCCGTTGTTGCTGCTGCTGCTGTTGTCGCTGCTCGAGAAATCGATTCGGCTCATCCGCCACCTGCGTTTCCCAGATCCGACGACTCGCGAGAGATCGTGCCGCTTAATCGCCCTGCCGCAGAATAATCTCCTTCACGCGTGCCCCGTCAGGTCGATCCCTCGATTTCAATTGTGTATTAATAATTCTCGCGATCGCCGTTCCCACGATCGATCGCGGTTGAGTCTTGGCGCGAGCCAGAGAACGAGTTGGCTTCATAGACTTATACAGATAGACTCGCGTTCTTATAAGATGGTGAAGGCAAGAATAATGTAAAAGTATCAATTTTCATTAATCTTGAATATTCTTATTGTTTTAATTTTTGAGTACTGATATGTGTATGTATTTAAAGTTTTAACTTAAAATATATGTACACGCGGAAAAAATAGTATGGTTGGGTCACATAAATCTGGTTATGCCAACCAGATTCAGTAGTAAAATACGGAACAAATTGATATATGTGCAACCGCAGCAACAATTGTTGCGTTACTGGCTTTGTAGCGGTGACGATGTCTGCTTTAAGCAGAAAATGGCAAATGTTACCCCAATCGATTCCTGGTTGCCGCAAGCAGATTACGCACTACATTGACGTAGTTGAGGTACCAAAGTCAAACTGAGTTATATCAACCATACACATTGCTATCACACAAAGACAACTAGAGGGTGCAACTATGCTGCTCACAAGAAAATATTTCTGGTTACCGTAAGATGGGGTTACTTTGTGACTGTAGGGGTTACTTTGTGACACAGTGAATATTGGTCAATAGTGATAATTATCACTATTGACCAATATTCACTGTGTCACAAAGTAACCCCTACAGTCACAAAGTAACCCCATCTTACGGTATGTATAACAAATCTCTTTCTTATCTGTGTATGTATATTTAATATATGTATATATATTTTATGTTGAAAGTTTAAATATTTATCTTTGAGAGAAGATCAAAACAATAAGAATGTCCAGAATTGATCTCCGGGCATTGATACTTTCACTTTTAAAGACAGAGATATGTCGAGTAAGATATGTTAAGTAAGATATGTTTCTTCTGTCGTACAGTACTATAGAAGGGGGCGATGTAGAGGAAATAGAAGAGGAAGGAATCTGGTGAAAAAAAGAAGGAAAGAACGCATTGACCGCGAGATCGCTTCTCATTCTTCCTTGTCTCCACTAACCAGACAATTAGACGAGGAAAGCATCTTACTCTCTGTTCCCTCGTCTGGCTTCAGCCTTTCAATGGGAATACGCAGTCTATCTCTTTAAGTCTATACCCGGCTTGGTGGCATATGACCGATGACGAGTGCTCCCATCGACCCGTCGCGAATCCGACGATCAATCCGGCGAATATCCATCATGACTCGCGGGCGAATCGACGCGCGCCTGTCAGCACGGACGGTATCTCACGCCTCCACAACTCACGGTTCGGCCACGGTTCCCGGAGATCGTCGACGGAGGATCATCGCGGATTCCGCAATCGACGAGCGTGCGGACGGCCGGCCGGCCGGCCGATCGAAAAGAGCCGAAAGTAGCAGCGCGAACGGCCAGATCAACGAATCGGATCGGCGAAGCCGCTCGGCGGCGGAACTGGCGGGCGTATGCCCCAGGGCGAACCGTCGAAATCGAATCCCGAAGCAGCGTCGATCACTTGCGGGATCACTTCTGGATTTGCTTTTCCTTCCTTTGCCCTCCTCCCCCCTCCCCGCTCCTTTCCTCCTCCCCCCTTTCTTCCCGGACGCGGATCGCGCAGGTAGATCGATCGGCGCTGGGCTCCGGAGAGCTGCGGCGCACCTCGAGGTATCACGAGACGCTCTGATTATCATTCGCAAAACGTCGCGCTGCGCTAACGCGGTGATGACGACGCGGCTGGTGATGGAAACGGACCTACCGTCGTGTTGCGGCGGTAGCGCTACAGTCCTACGACGACGACGACAGCGACGACGACGACGACGATGACTACGATGACGACGACGACGATGACGACGACGACGACAACGACGACCTATCGATCTCTACGAGTGCTTTTGACGACCGCTAAATGCGACCTCGAAGCGTAAAACAACGCTTGCTACGGGACCTGTCTGTCGGCCGGTGGCGCCAGCGGAGCGTTCCCGTCCAGCCAAGTACTTGCCAGCCGTGAAAAGAGGTTCGCCGACACGGATGAACAAGCGACCGCTTTATACGAGTCTATATACCGCCAGCACCGGAAGTAGGAGGATGGACACGATCGGTGATGCACGCAGCTCGCCAGCACCCGCGGAGATGCTCGACGCCATCGCGCTGTTGCACGCCTCGGGCGTTGGATCTGCAAACAGAAGCAAAGACGCGAGGTCAGAAGAGGTCGGCGTAACGGTGGGGACATTCGGTCGCTTTTCTGGAATCGATTAACCCTGGCCAATGTTAGTGTTAGTACCTGGAGTACATGGACTTCCATGATTGTCATGACGTGTGACAATCGGAAACTTTATAACTTCTTTAATTACATTTATGAAGCTAGTACGTTGTATCGAATTAATCATTAAATTCACCTCATATAGCGATTTGAATTTCTTATTATATTGATATGGTAAGAAAGGAGGCCAAAAATGTGCCATTTTTGGCCTCAACAATGGAACCTTTATGCATGTTTTCTTATATTTTTTGATGTGCTGAATCATTTGTTTGTTTCGAGCTGAACTAATGAGAAAGTGTTGAAAATAGCGTTCAAAGTAGTTCACAGTTTCGTCGAAATTTGAATAAAAATTCAAGAATATGTAACATTTTTTTATCTTCTTTTTACTTTCTAGATTCTGTGTACCTGAAAGCTGTATACTTTATGTAACGCATTGATGAGAGACTTAGTAAGACTTAGTTTAGTAACCAATTGGAATGCAGTTTTACTCTACAAATATAAAAATTCTCTACCTATGAGGTTACTGACAATGACTAGGCAACTCAAAAATTCAAAAAATTCTGAAACTTTGTGTGCAAGTAGAGTAGTTTATCCGTAGCACAAAACTATTTTTTGTTTATGCGGAATTACAGTTTTAGGGGATAAAACACCCATTTGAAAAAAATCAGTTTTTTTCTTTTGAAGCGAATATCGTCGAAACTATAAGAGATAGAAAAAATTGTCCTAAGTGAAAATTGAATGGTTTCAAGAATACTTTAGAACTATAATAAAAAAATTTGGTAAATGTTCACTTTAGGGGAAGCACCTCCGATGATCTTGACCTTGACATATGTTATAAAGGTCACTCTTCTGAGTAACTCAGAAGGTTTTCGCTCGTTGTTTGTTAAAAAGTTATTAACAAAAGAAGTGTTAATATTTTGCTTATACTAACATTTCTAGAAAGATGCTATGCGAAATTGTACGCGATTCTTCGATATTATGTTTTTACTTAAACGGGTGATATTCGATATCCTCATAATGATATTAGACAAGTTGTTTTGATTGTGTGTGTAATTGTGTGTATGTTTACATTTCGATTTGATGATTATGTTCCGATATACCAGTATATCTTGGAACACAGCGAGAGTAACATTGATATACTTACAATCATGCTGTTCTACGAATTTATTCATTTTACGTATAATTACGAAAATTTAATAAATTATTTGAGTGATAAAACAGTGCTTCGAAATTAAATTTCGTGTCCACTATGTAACAAAGTGATTGAATTGAAACCAGAAAAATCACTTATAATGCATTGCAGTAATATGTATTATAAACAAATACGTGGACAAAAGAAACTTTGCAGGTGAATTAAATAAGTTGGGTTAGAGTTAGGTTTTTCGGGGAGGGGGTGCGGGGGGAGAGACGGAGCCCCTTCCCCGCGCATACACGTGTACTGTGCACATACATTAATATGTGCATATATACAGTGTGTTCCCAAAAGGTGGTACCAAATTTTAAGGGTATATAGTACTCGTTAAAACAAACCAAAAACTCTTAATGAACAGTACTCCGAAAACCTTTTATTTCTGAGTTATGAAGCATTTTGTTCTGTGAAAAATAGAAAATAAATTAAATCTACAATAAATGTTCAATGTGCCTTCGGCTCATGTCAGTACACATTTCGGCATGTTTCGTCATTGAAAATCAAAGAGTCCAGGTTTATTTCGTATTTGTTGACAACAGTTTCCAAGTCTCTTAGTCAGTTCATTCACGGACGGCCGTATGTGACCACCTAATTACGCAGGGATTGTTGTATTCAACTTTGGATTGTGGACCATATCTAGTTTTGTGTTATCTGAAAAATGGCTAATTTTTACACAAATTCTGAAATGACGGATATTTATTTTATGTATGGCAGAGCAAAGGGCAATGCTTCAAAAGCAGCACGCTTGTATTATGCAGCTTATCCGAATCGCCGACAGCCAAGTAGAAGAATGTTTAGCAAAATTCATCAACGCAATGGACGGAGGGCACATTGAACATTTATTGTAAATTTTAGTTATTTTCTATTTTTCACAGAATAAAATGCTTCATAACTCAGAAATAAAAGGTTTTCGGAATACTGTTCATTAAGACTTTTCAGTTTGTTTTAATGAATACTACATACCCTTAAAATTTGGTACCACCTTTTGGAAACACCCTGTATATGTGCATTAGGGTGGTTCTTATTTTTCGACTTTCAAATTTTTTGCGCGGCACCCTCCAAAAAGTTTCCATTTGACAAAAAAATAATCCCTGTCAAACTTTTGCTTGATCGAATAACGAGAATCCGTGCCCTCGGGTCATTAAACATTGGTGTACCTTTGTATTAAGCTATCTACGTTATCAATATGATTTTAAAGCATATTTTCCACAAAAATCGCTTTAGAGGACATTCTTTTTTTCTTTCTACATCGTTTGAGATCTTATAGTCTCATTTAAACAATTAGACAATTGTTGATGAATAAAAAATAAAAATAAGTTGTTATTGCATTTATTGTTTGAGCTACAACCCGTTTCGACGATATTCGCTTTAAAAGAAAAAAACCGATATTTTTCAAAGGTGTTTCACCCCCCTAAAACTGTAATTCCGCAGGAACAAAAAATAGTTTTGTGTTGCAGATGAACTACTCTACTTGCACACAAAGTTTCAGAATTTTTTGAATTTTTGATTTGCCTTTTTTGATTTTAGTGTTCCTTGTGAGTCGAAATGTGCGCGCGTGTGTGTATGGCAATGTGTATACATACATACGAAACAGTACATGCACACATTTGTACGAGTTATACAGTATTAGTTGTATATATTAGGACGTCTAGTGAATCAAGGCCAACAGTTTAATATATTATGGATATCTGTGATGTCACTCCTCAAGAGAAAGGACAAACCTACTCTAGATTTCGTAATGTTAGATTACATTATATTAGTTGATGTCTAAATAGATGATGTTAAGTTAAGTAAGAATAAAGGTTTGGAGGAGGAGGTGATAGGAAGAGAAAAAGAATGTAAGAAACGTTATGAACTTTCTTGAATTTTATTTAGATCTTAACTTTTTATTTAGATCTTAACGAAATTGTGATACTTTGAATGCGATTTTAAATACTTTTTCATCAATTTAACTTGAAATTAATGCTTACAAATAATTTAACATTAAAAAATATAAGAAAACATGCATAAGAAAGATTTCATCACTTGGGCTAAAAATGATCTATTTTATTTATCCTCTTTTATGAAACGTTACTCTCAGATTTTCATATCACATGATATATTGGTTTGAGTAAATTCCTATCATTTTTATCGTATTTCTATTTCGTCACTCTGTGTGACAATTATGAAGGCCACGTGAACCACTCATAAGAGATGCAATCTTTACAAATCGGCTGGTAAAGTTACTGTCAAATTTCCATATACGTATCTATGTAGGATTGATAGGAATTCTGCGATTTTAATTATAATATATTTATGAGGCAAACATACTGTATTGAATTAATTTAAGTTAAATCATTAAATTTTACATATAATAATATAATTTTTTATTGTATTGATGTAGCAAATTAACTAAAAGAGGAAGGACCATGATTTTGATTGGGATCATGCCAAAGTTTTATATGAGGAACGCTTTTACCTAAAACGCCTGATCTCAGAAATGATTTTCATCAAATTTCAGAAGCATGGTCTTAACTCACAAAAGGATACTGAATATTTGGGCACCAGCTACTGCGGCTTGTTATAAAAATACACTTTGTTATGGTTACCTTCTCTTCCACAAGTCGTTTCCGCAATGTTAATGCTAGGTATATAAATCTGTAATTATTTGTATTTCATAGACGTGGCGATGTTATCGTTGACAGGATCGGTTTACTTTTAGCTGAACTCAACAAAGGTATTTTATATTGTCAGTTTTAATTATTTATTATATTTCAATTTTACTTATTTTTTATTTTATTTTATGATTTTTATAGTTATGACGGCTACTTCTCAATATTAATTAACTACTTAATATTATTTCGGTAACGGTCTTGTCAGCTTTAATATTGCATTCATGTCAAGTTACGCAGGTCTTTAACTAATTGTAATGCGTTCGTGTCGTAAACCTTGAGTTTTTTATTATCACTGAAGAGGGTTCATGGTTGAGCCGAAACATATGATTGTTTTATATTGATTATTCATGTTCAATAAATATTACATGATTTCCTAACACAAGGAAGGTTTTTTACTCATATGGTATATAGCACTATTAGTCTGTGCTTGAACTCGAATTGCCCTTTTTCCTATTTTTTGATTAACTAAAAGACTTTTATTTGAAAATTTGAGATTTCACTCTCACATAATTTTCATGTGGCAGCTAATATGGTACCAATACTATAATAGACAAGATGACTGACTGTGCGTCCAAATTGTACGTCATAGGCGATGAACATTCGATCGATCTTCACGAGGATAATATAGTGGTAGTTTGTGACGAAGAGACGTCAATGTCTATCATTATGTCATTACTCAATCGTTTGTACCAAGCCATAAACGTGTTTAATATGAGATCTTCCTTATCGAAAAATTCAAGGAAGATAGAATTCTAGATAAAAAGAATAGTTATTATATGATCGGAAATAGAGATGTTAATTTCTTTCGTTGAGATCTAAAAAAAATGATTCAATTAACATAATTTTTGCTGCAAAAATAGACAGGGGATATAATATTAATAATATTATTTTTCCTCTACATATGTAGTAATAATTTGATCGTAATTAATTTTTAAATGTAATTAGTAATTTTATACTAAATTATCTTATTTATCATTAATATACGCGCGCGTATGGTGTATCGAATCGATACAATAAGCCTTCTTTATGCATACATTGTCAGATCAATATACGTTATCGTTAACATGCATTATTGAAATTAAGATAATTTAGTATGAAATTACCATTTCGTGTACATATCAAACAGTCAATATAATATATTACATTTTGTGACGTATACATTAATCGACAGAATAGATTTAACCTTGTTACGCAATTAGATTATTAAGATCTGCTAACTGTATGTGTTAGTAATTTATTATTTATTAATTATTCAGAAAAGCAGAGGGAACAAACAAGGTGTGTTAAGTTAATAATCTGCCACTGAGATAGCTTTACGTTAATGTCCACAAATGAATATTTATACGGTTATAAAATACTAGTAACCTAATTTCTTTGCATGTGATTAAAGCTATTCTATTGGTTAATGTATTGTAGTCAGGCATAGGGTCACTCGCGTGTCGGAACAAACGAAAAAATCTGGTGATATGTCCAATCTCTCTTCGCCGATCAGCTGTGAACCAACACAAAACCACACGACAATAAATTTTAAAAAATAGTATTTTATAAAAACGCCAAATCTCAAGCAATAATGGTACTTAATACGATGTGTTATGTTTCTTTAAAATATTATTGTATTATAATAATTGTTAAAAAAATCGCAATCTCTTTATAAAGAGATAGAGAGACGTAAAAAGAAAGGGAAAGATAGAAAGAGAAGGAGGGAGGGAGAGCAGAGAGAAAGAGGGGGGAGACAGAGAGAAATTAATTTCAGAAGTATTATGTAATATATTATATATTAGGCAACACAAGTGTGACTAATGTTTGTTATGTTTGATCTGTAATCTAAACCATGTTTAATTTGATATTATCAATCCTCTCCTTGACGAGGATTCTTGTCATCGATAGTGAAGGGGTTAAAAGCGTGTCGAAGTTTGTTAGAATTTCTAGTTATATTTCTTTTATTAATATTAATGAAACAGTACATATCATGGTTAATCAAAATATTTGTCATCATTGTTCATCGCGTTTTGCCTTCACTCAGATAATTATCTAATTTTACATCTATAAAATAACACATTTTTTGAGCTAACGAAGTCATCAACAATTTGACGATCTTTTACAAACCCTTATTACGAGGCAATGGATTGAAGGCAGTGCGAGAAGAAATGGATTGAAAGCAGTGCGAGAAGAAGTTGTGATTTTTTTTTTCTTTGTTTTTTCTTTCTTTCTTTTCTTTTCTTCGATGCCAATCATAGACTTATATACTTAGACCGAGTGTCTAAGAAGTCTGTAAGAGGCTACGAAGACTTGAAAAGGATATCTTGTTAGTGCGGTCATTCAACCCTTATCTAGTTTAACTCCTATTGGACATTTTGTCTAGTTTTCTTCAATAGAAGTCAAGCTAGACAAAAATGGGATGCCTATGGATAGTGCAAGGGGAATACATCTGTCCTTTAAATTTTACATTCAAACCTCTTATAAGAAGCCATACTCCACACAAGAAAAAAGTTTCGTTGAATTAACAAATGTCTGATGAAATATGGACGAACAAGAAATATGGTTAAAGTTACTAGAATTCTGTTCAAATTAACAACCCAGATAGCAAAGAGAATTCAAAACGAATTCAGTCGTATGTCACCAATTTTGAGTTCATTTTTAGATGCGAAAAGAATTCTTTTTACTGAACTGAACTCTGAAGAATTCTGTTTGAAAATAAACTCAGAATTGGTGACATATGACTGAATTCTTTTTGAACTTTTTTTGAATTCTCTATGCTATCTGGGAAGATTTCTGGTTAACTTGAACAGTTACAAGTTTTGGTTATCTAGAAATCTTATTAATTTGAATAAAATTTTGGCAATTTCAACCAGAATTTTTGGTTCATGCTTATATTACATAAGATATTTAATTAAACTAACCAAATTTTTTTTCGGATGTGTACACATGTTATCTGACAATACATATAAAAATCTCATGTAGGTGTAAATTATGTTAAACTAGACAAAAAATTGTCCTACTATTTTGCAAACAACCACGTAGAATTTTGAGTTATTAGAGTTGTTACAGAGTTATTATAGAGAAAATTAGCAAATGATTACGTTGGGTACGGATATTTCGATGTATTACAGTGTAAGGTGCAAAACTATGCGATTTACGTTGTGTGCTTATATATTAGGTCAAATTGAACAAAAAAGTCGTCTATCGTTTTGCAAATTACCATATAAACTTTTGAATCATTAGTTACAGAAAATTGGTGTATAATCACGCACAATTTAGTTTTTTACTAATTGGTAGAGAACTTTTTCGTTCAGTTTGACGTAATATACGAGTATATAACACAAACTGTACTTAACGTCACACTCTATATCCAGCGCGATCATTCACAATCTCCTTAAATTAAGGGAACGCTAGAGTCAACATCTTTACCGACAGAATACTAACCTTTTTTGCAAAGTTTACGTTGTATTGGCTCTACAGAATTACAAATACTCTTACACAATATAAATACGTGGAAGAATGTATCGGAGCAATGCTCAATATATGATAAAAGCGGTGAAAATTTCAAAGTTGACATTTCCAATATAAATTAGCCTTTCAGACACTGTCAGTTAAAATAAATATTTGCTTAATACATAAGATTTGCAGCTTGTATACATATATTGAACGCGCGAGTTTGCTCCGCTTAGAAAAATTTAAAAATACATTTTTACACGTAAATTTAAAATATCGGAAAAGTTTGTGGAAAAATATGCGTGGTTAAGTTTTTCGCTAAATATAGTAAAACAAAACACATTTAGGTAAGATCTATATAAGAAATACGAGAAGGATAGCGTGATCATCATTGTTTCTATATTACCAACATTTTTTAAGCTTGTCATCGACTTCAGCATACTCTTAATAACATAACATTTTACGTGATTGTTTGGATAGAGGAATTTGTTTTTTCAATTTGGTTTAATCTACACACAAGAGTTTTACATATGATACAGGCCTGCATAGTTTTGTTGATTGAGATCTGACAATGTTTTCTTACGTAATTTTTTGCGCTGAATCCAAATCTGGCCGCAGAGTTGTTCTATCACGTCAGAATTTCAAAATATTCTAATCTAAAACTGCCAAAAAAGCCGTTTTCAACCATATTTTAAATTAAATTAAAAATTGAGAAAATTTTTTTCGTCAAATCCGTCAACGGTATCATTTAATACTATACGGTCCCTTCAAAATCCATTTTGAGAACCATCGCAAAGCGATTTTTTCTTCCGAAAATATACCAATTCAAATTTCGATAAATTGCACTTCATAGGAGCCTAGTCTTCATGCCGTTATATTAGAACAAGCCGAGTAGTTACTCGCCTTCACTGGTCAGGTAGTCACCCATCCTGTTTTAAGGCCGATGTACATTAGTCGTATCGTAGCGTCGTAAGCGTCGTGCGATTCGTTGTAGAAATTTGGTCAAACCCAATCTTCAACGATTCTACGACATTACGATTGCTACGATCAACTAATCAGCGACGAGCTAGAGTCGTATTACTTAAAAATATGTATAGCACAAAAAGTAATCATACTCATTATTAAAAATATATATTTTTGTACTACTTACGAGCATTACGATGCTACGGTTTTGCGATGTCACGACGTTACGATACGACCAATGTAGATCGACCTTTAGAGATCAGGCTCCTGCGAGGTACAATTTATCGAACTTTGAATTGGTATATCTCCGGGAGAAAAAGTCGCTTTGAGATGGTTTAAAATGGATTTTGAAAAAGTCGTATAGTAGTAAATAATACCGTTGACGGATTTGTCAAAAAAATTGTCTCAATTTTTAATTTAATTTAAAATATGATTGAAAACAGCTTTTTTGGCAGTTTTAGATTAGGATATTTTGAAATTCTGACGTGATAGAGCAACTCTGCGGTCAGATTTGGATTCAGCGCAAAAAATTACGTAAGAAAACATTGTCAACTTTCAACACCTCCAATTTTGCAGGCCTGTGTTATCATCAGACGCTCTACACCCAAAAAAGTATTCTACGTACAAAGTGAATTTTTC